GGAGGAGCCCCCCCGGGTGCGAACGGCCGCCCGGCTCTTCCAGCAGAGCTGCTACCGCTACCGCGAGGAGCTCAGCGCCGGCATCATCGTGGCTGGCTGGGACCCACGGCGCGGGGGGCAGGTGAGGGGGGGGACACACCCACACAGCCCCCAGCCCCATAGCGGGACCCCCAGCCCCATAGCGGGACCCTCTGCCCCATAGCAGAAAGCTCTGCCCCACAGCAACCATCATTTTAGCTTCATATGTCTGTTTTCCTATAGTAATATGCATTTTTCTGCCCCATAGCAGGGCTCTCTGACCCATGGGGGACCTGTCTGCCCCATAGCGGAACCCTGTGCCCCATAGGGGGACCCTCTCCCCCATAGCAGGACGCTCTCCCCATAGCGAGACCCCCCACCCCATAGCACCTCTCATTCTAGCTCTACATGTCTCTTTTTGTATGGTAATATGCATTTCTCTGCCCCATAGCGGGACCCCTCTGCCCCATAGCAGATCCCTCTGCCCCATAGCGAGACCCCCAGCCCCATAGTAGGACCCCCTGCCCCATAGCACCCCTTGTTCTACCTCCATATATGTCTTTTTCTATGGTAATATGCATTTCTCTGCCCCATAACGGGATCCTCTGCCCCATAGGGGGACCCTTCTCCCCCATAGCAGATCCCTCTCCCCCATAGCAGGGCCCTCTGCCCCATAGGGGGACCTGTCTGCCCTATAGCAGATCCCTCTGCCCCATAGCAGGGCCATAGTGGGAGCCTCTGCCCCATAGCAGGGCCCCCAGCCCCATAGCACCTCTCATTCTAGCTCTATATGTCTCTTTTTCTATACTAATATACATTTCTCTGCCCCATAGCGGGACCCCCTGCCCCATAGCAGGGCCCTCTGCCCCATAGTGGGACTCTCTGCCCCATAGCAGGACCCCTCTGCCCCATAGCAGGACCCCTCTGCCCCATAGTGGGACCCCCTGCCCCATAGCACTGCTCATTCTAGCTCCATATGCCTCTTTTTCTATGGTAATATGTATTTCTCTGCCCCATAGCAGGACTGCTCTACCCCATAGGGGGACTTCTCTGCCCCATAGCGGGACCCCCAGCCCCATAGCAGGACTCCTCTGCCCCATAGCAGGATTCTCTCCTCCATAGTGGTCCCCCCAGCCCCATAGCACTCCTCATTATAGTTCCATATATGTCTTTTTCTATAGTAACATGCATTTCTCTGCCCCATAGCGGGACCCCCAGCCCCATAGCGGGACCCCCAGCCCCATAGCACTCCTTGTTCTACCTCCATATATGTCTTTTTCTATGGTAATATGCTTTTCTCTGCCCCATAGCAGGACCCCCAGCCCCATAGCAGGGCCCTCTGCCCCATAGCAGGGCCCCCTGCCCCATAGCACCCCTCATTATAGTTCCATATATGTCTTTTTCTATAGTAACATGCATTTCTCTGCCCCATAGCGGGACCCCCAGCCCCATAGCGGGACCCCCTGCCCCATAGCACCCCCCATTCTAGCTCCATATATGTCTTTTTTTATGGTAATATCCATTTCTCTGCCCCATAGCGGGGCCCTCTGCCCCATAGCGAGACCCCCAGCCCCATAGCGGGACCCCCTGCCCCATAGCACTCCTTGTTCTACCTCCATATATGTCTTTTTTTATGGTAATATCCATTTCTCTGCCCCATAGCGGGACCCCCTGCCCCATAGCACTCCTTGTTCTACCTCCATATATGTCTTTTTTTATGGTAATATCCATTTCTCTGCCCCATAGCGGGACCCCCTGCCCCATAGCACTCCTTGTTCTACCTCCATATATGTCTTTTTTTATGGTAATATCCATTTCTCTGCCCCATAGCGGGACCCCCTGCCCCATAGCACTCCTTGTTCTACCTCCATATATGTCTTTTTTTATGGTAATATCCATTTCTCTGCCCCATAGCGGGACCCCCTGCCCCATAGCACTCCTTGTTCTACCTCCATATATGTCTTTTTTTATGGTAATATCCATTTCTCTGCCCCATAGCGGGACCCCCTGCCCCATAGCACTCCTTGTTCTACCTCCATATATGTCTTTTTTTATGGTAATATCCATTTCTCTGCCCCATAGCGGGACCCCCTGCCCCATAGCACTCCTTGTTCTACCTCCATATATGTCTTTTTTTATGGTAATATCCATTTCTCTGCCCCATAGCGGGACCCCCTGCCCCATAGCACTCCTTGTTCTACCTCCATATATGTCTTTTTTTATGGTAATATCCATTTCTCTGCCCCATAGCGGGACCCCCTGCCCCATAGCACTCCTTGTTCTACCTCCATATATGTCTTTTTTTATGGTAATATCCATTTCTCTGCCCCATAGCGGGACCCCCTGCCCCATAGCACTCCTTGTTCTACCTCCATATATGTCTTTTTTTATGGTAATATCCATTTCTCTGCCCCATAGCGGGACCCCCTGCCCCATAGCACTCCTTGTTCTACCTCCATATATGTCTTTTTTTATGGTAATATCCATTTCTCTGCCCCATAGCGGGACCCCCTGCCCCATAGCACTCCTTGTTCTACCTCCATATATGTCTTTTTTTATGGTAATATCCATTTCTCTGCCCCATAGCGGGACCCCCTGCCCCATAGCACTCCTTGTTCTACCTCCATATATGTCTTTTTTTATGGTAATATCCATTTCTCTGCCCCATAGCGGGACCCCCTGCCCCATAGCACTCCTTGTTCTACCTCCATATATGTCTTTTTTTATGGTAATATCCATTTCTCTGCCCCATAGCGGGACCCCCTGCCCCATAGCACTCCTTGTTCTACCTCCATATATGTCTTTTTTTATGGTAATATCCATTTCTCTGCCCCATAGCGGGACCCCCTGCCCCATAGCACTCCTTGTTCTACCTCCATATATGTCTTTTTTTATGGTAATATCCATTTCTCTGCCCCATAGCGGGACCCCCTGCCCCATAGCACTCCTTGTTCTACCTCCATATATGTCTTTTTTTATGGTAATATCCATTTCTCTGCCCCATAGCGGGACCCCCTGCCCCATAGCACTCCTTGTTCTACCTCCATATATGTCTTTTTTTATGGTAATATCCATTTCTCTGCCCCATAGCGGGACCCCCTGCCCCATAGCACTCCTTGTTCTACCTCCATATATGTCTTTTTTTATGGTAATATCCATTTCTCTGCCCCATAGCGGGACCCCCTGCCCCATAGCACTCCTTGTTCTACCTCCATATATGTCTTTTTTTATGGTAATATCCATTTCTCTGCCCCATAGCGGGACCCCCTGCCCCATAGCACTCCTTGTTCTACCTCCATATATGTCTTTTTTTATGGTAATATCCATTTCTCTGCCCCATAGCGGGACCCCCTGCCCCATAGCACTCCTTGTTCTACCTCCATATATGTCTTTTTTTATGGTAATATCCATTTCTCTGCCCCATAGCGGGACCCCCAGCCCCATAGCACTCCTTGTTCTACCTCCATATATGTCTTTTTCTATGGTAATATGCTTTTCTCTGCCCCATAGCAGGACCCCCAGCCCCATAGCAGGGCCCTCTGCCCCATAGCAGGGCCCCCTGCCCCATAGCACCCCTCATTATAGTTCCATATATGTCTTTTTCTATAGTAACATGCATTTCTCTGCCCCATAGCGGGACCCCCAGCCCCATAGCGGGACCCCCTGCCCCATAGCACCCCTCATTCTAGCTCCATATATGTCTTTTTTTATGGTAATATCCATTTCTCTGCCCCATAGCGGGGCCCTCTGCCCCATAGCGAGACCCCCAGCCCCATAGCATCTCTCATTTTACTTCTATGTCTCTTTTTCTATACTAATATACATTTCTCTGCCCCACAGCGGGGCCCCCAGCCCCACAGCACCCCTCGTTTTAGCTCCATATATGTCTTTTTCTATGGTAATATCTATTTCTCTGCCCCATAGCGGGGTTCTCTGCCCCATAGGAGGCCCCCTCTGCCCCACAGTGGTCTCCCGTGCCCCATAGGAGGCCCCCTCTGCCCCACAGTGGTCCCCTCTGCCCCAGAGCATCCCTTGTTCTAGCTCCACAACATCCCTTTTATATATGAATATCCATTTCTGTGGCCCATGGCTGCCCCACGGCTGCCCCACGGCTGCCCCATAGCGTCCCCTCTGCCCCCCAGGTGTACGTGGTGCCCATGGGGGGGATGCTGCTGCGCCAGCCCTTCGCCGTGGGGGGGTCGGGCAGCTCCTACATCTACGGCTTCTTGGACTCCACCTTCCGCCCCGGGATGAGCCGGGAAGAGGCAGAGGATTTCGTGGCCCGAGGTGGGTCCT